TAACAGATTTCTTATTTTCATAATGTATTAAGCGATTTAACTTGAAATATTTGTGAGTAAAGAATTTTATATAAAATACACAATATAATCACATACAATGATGCAAGGAATAAAAATGTAGTTTGTTAATTATGGACTGTTTTGGTGTAGATACTAGAGAAAACAGGAATGACGTCGAAATTGTCAAAATGTAAACGTAAACTGGTAATTAGAGCGGCCTGCAAATTATCTAACTGTCCTAGACTAATTTTATCAATGTAACATGAGTTGTACTTATCGAAACTCTAAACTGAAAAGCAAACAATAGTGTCAAATAGTATACAAACTCAAAAAACTAATAGTAACAACTAAACTAAATAAGCAAATAATAGTATTAATATTTAGCAAAATTAATATGTATGAGACCTTTACAAGTATTATTCAAATATCTTATACGATCTTAAGCAAACGAAACCAATGTATAGGAAATATAACAACAATATGAAATTGCATGTATTAAACAATAAACAGCATAAATTGTTGCATGAAATATGCTTATGTGTAGTGCATAAAATTATAGATAGGATTGAAACTATGCAAGTCATTATATTCGAGAGGGTTTGCATATAATTGATTGTATCATAAGAAAAAAAATATGAGAGTAATGATGTGAAATTATAATACACCTATTATTATAAATATTTAAATTACAATATTTTAAATGGATTAATGACGTGTTAATATATGTTAATTATACATGAATCTCATGAAATTACATAATTTATTGTTTAAAACTGAAAATTATATTGAATTATTTTTATTGAATTTTACTAGTTTAATTGCAAAAAATAATTAAAATTAATTGAAATCAAATATTTTAAGTAATATTTTCTAAATTTACTACTAAATTAAGTTAAGACTTAATTCATTACTAATTATCAAAATTTCACTCTTAATATGTACAAATTAAGTAATCACTACATTATTTTCTGATTTGTTCCCAGATAATTTGATCTAAAATTTCAATTCCCGACTTAATTTATTAAGAATGTTGGTATTTCTATATGGAAAATAGATGATGTCGAAAATAAAGGTTTAAATAGTTTAAAAATATTCATATTTATAACTAACTTTCGACAATTACACGATATAATTACTAAAATAAGCAAAAAAAATCAATTTGAATTCAACAAATATTTGCAACAAGAAATTTTTTTCACAAAAGTATTTAAATTCATATTTAATTAATAATTCAGACAATTATACTGTTTATGAAATATTTCGATACCAAATAATTTGAATTATTTTCTTGAATTGACCTAATACAAAAAAAAGCAAAGAATATAAATAATTAGAATAATTAGAATAAATTAAGTAAGTCAATTAACAAATTTATTTTTTATATTCGAAACAGTCATTAAATAATTACACAAAAAAGGAAGAAGGAAAATACTATTTCTATGATGTAACAGATTTTTTATTTTCATAATGTATTAAGCGATTTAACTTGAAATATTTGTGAGAAAAGAATTTTATATAAAATACACAATATAATCACATACATGAAGCAATGAATAAAAATGTAGTTTGTTAATTATGTACCATTCTTTTGTAACCAATTGTATTTGAACATGAATAACAAATCCATCACGTAGTTACAGATTTATTCAATAATTGGACTGTTTTGGTGTAGATACTAGAGAAAACAGGAATGACGTCGAAATTGTCAAAATGTAAACGTAAACTGGTAATTAGAGCGGCCTGCAAATTATCTAATTGTCCTAGACTAATTTCATCAATGTAACATGAGTCGCCCGGGGCGGTAGAAGCGGCGGGGGTCCAAAGCCTCCCCCCCAAACGCCGTCCTTCATCCCACCGACGAAACACCACAACCAGTTGCGATTACACAATGTGCATGCAACGGGGCGCACGCGGCATGGGGGGCGGCCGTTCGCTGCTTTCCGTGCATTGTGTCTGCACAGGCAATGAATGTATTTATCGTGCCGTTAACAAACTCCAGGTTGGTGGGGTGGCTGTGGCGATGGCAGTAGCGCAGGCCGGCGGCGGCGGCGACCCCCCTCGAACCACGTGCATACAATTGCGCCCACCACCCTCCCCAAACAACAACAACAACACAAACCGAATCTCTTTCCATTTGTGTTGCACAATAGGCCTCTGCGGATATTCCATTATTTGCAGGCTGATTAAAAAAAAAACAACAACAACGACGACAACGAGGACGACAGCGGCAACGGCAACAATAACGGACGAAGAAGAAATGAAACGAGATGCACGACTGTCACTTCGGCCATGTCAACGGGAGCAATCGGGGGCGGCTCGGGGGTGTTGGGGGCGCATACGATTACATAAGCAATAAAGTCGCGATGAGAGTGCGGAACGAGCTGACGGCTTCGAGGGGCGGGTTTCGTGACCCCCCCGGTTACGTTGATGGGGGGGCGGTGGTGCGAATGACGGTTGTTTGCACACCGCCCGCTCATCCTGATAGCGATAGAGAGGAACACATTAGAGGGAAGCTACCAAATCAACAACAAACACCCTCGTGAAGAGCGGAGAGGAAGCTGAACAGAAAAAAAGAACCAACAGCAGCACGCAAACGGCGCAAGCAAAGAAGAAGCACGTACTTAAAATTCCATCAATACTAAAATAGATTAGATCCTCTTGTTCGCATTTTTTTTTAGTTCTTCTCCGTTTTATTCATCATCATCCTTGCCCCACAGCAAATTCACATAGACGTTGATTAAATACTTTAAACCGCATTTTTGATGGATCACCGAAAAATCAACTTCATTTCAATGATCCAAGACTTGTTAGTAGAGATGGACGTCAAGCTTATAATTTAAACATTAAAATTCAATCTACATTAAACACTTCAAACTCAATTGAGTTTCAGTGCATTCTACAATGTAGAATGATTTTTCTCTTTAACAGAATTAAATATATGTAGAGTAATATCTACGTTCATTTTTCACCGAATTCTATTGAAAACTGAAGATACTAAAAGGGTTTAACACCATAAATTCAGATTTATATATTATTATAGTTTCGTGTAGGAAATTAACTGCAAATTCACTTATTATCTAAGAGTTAATTGTGGATAGAAACGTCAGAACGTTTGTGTATTTTTTTTTCAAATTAGTTTTAGAACAGCGTTGAATTGCATGCGAGATCGCATCATGTATAGTGAGTGTTTCGGTATGTGTAATTGCCCGAGGAGAAGTGGCAGATATTACGGATTGTAGTAGTTGCAGAGAGTTGGTGGTGGTGGTGGACTTGCAAACGTTAATTGAAATTCTCCATTTGAAGCACCATAAAAGGGCGTCAATTACGAACGATTTTAGTAGTTGTTTTCGAAGTAGTTTGGATCGTGAGTTGGTCAGCAGCATATGCTATTGATTTGCTTAAGTGTTGCGCACTCGTAGATGTTGAGAAATTGTGTTGTATTAATTGGAAAACGAAATGTTTTGCCCAAAAGTTTTCGAATCACGTTTGCATTATTAATGCATAAAGAAAAAGCAAAGTGAAGATTTCATATTAATTTAGAGAAATACTAATAAAATTGTAAAAAATTAAATATTTCATTTTAAAGTTATTATTTAATGCAAATTATAAATGAAAAATAAATTCAAAATATCAAAGTTATTATTTATAAAATTGTGTGTTTTTTTTTATACAAACCAGTAAAATACTATTTCATATGTGTTATTTAGTTGTATAGATAGAAAAGTTTGGTCGAGTTTTCATTTTTATTGAGGAATTCCGCATCCGTACTCGGAATGCGATAGCGCATTTATTTTTGCGCTTCGTGCATTTCCTTCGGTGCTCGAATCTGAACCCTCATCCTCATCGATGGATCCTTATTCTTTGAGTGTTCGCTCGAGCGGAATGAAGGTGAAAGGAGATGCATTTGTGTTTTGATTACCTCGTGCGCTTTCATGAAAGCATCTTTTTTTTAATATATATATATTTATATACCAATCCATAACAAATGATGGACTTTAAATGTAAACACGAATCAATAACATTTTTCTTAGTTATGATTCCTCTATAAATATGAAATATATAACGAAAATTTAAATAAAATTGTAAATTGAATGTCTTCATTACGGAATTATAATAATTTCTCTGTGTAATTTCCTAATAGCATTTTACAATTTATTTTTGTTATACTTCTTTTTCTCCCTTTTTCTATCATCCAGTTCAGTAATTGCTTGAGACTTAAGTGTAATGTAATGAATATTGTAATGTTTTCACTTTATTTGAAAAAGTATTGAAAACATTACAAGATCACTTCGTTTGTTAATTTTCAGTTTACATTATGGAAGAAAACAAATATTTTACATAATTGGTATAGTAATGAATGAAAGGAGACTAAATATTGTTGCTTGAATGAAAATAAAGGGTAATGACCTTAACTGGGCAGACGGTGAGTGTTATTTTTTCATATTAATTGATTTTCGTTTTTTGTCTTTCTAGGAGACAACAGAAGCAAAGGGAGCGCATATGTAAAACGGTTTACAACAAGCTCTTTGAGAGCTACACGAGCTGCATTCAGGCGTTCAACGCGACCGCATACTACGAATCCCTGGACTTGGACCCATTGGACCTGTTCGTGGATGGGGTGAATGCATCGAGCGGCGAAAGGAACGACAGCTGGGCGGACGGAGGAAACGGGACACTTGGAGGCAGAGACGAGGTCACTTTACAGCCCGTCCTGCCGCCCTTCGAACAATGGCAAACCATCCTGATCGCCATCTGTCTTGGCCTCTGCATCGTCCTCACCGTTGGTGGCAACATCCTCGTGCTCTTAGCCTTTCTCGTCGACCGCAACATCCGTCAACCCAGCAACTACTTTATCGCTTCTCTGGCGGCCACGGACATGCTAATTGGTAAATTAATCTATTTCATTTATCATTACTCTGCTATAGGTATTATAGGTTCCGTGTGTTGAATGGAATTTAATGGTGCATTTAATAATGATAATAAATTTGTATGTGCAGGTACGGTTTCGATGCCCTTTTACACGGTGTACGTGTTGATGGGCTATTGGAATTTGGGTCCGCTCTTGTGCGATCTGTGGCTCTCAGTGGATTACACCGTCTGTCTGGTGTCTCAATACACGGTGCTCTTAATAACGATCGATCGATTCTGCTCGGTGAAAATAGCCGCAAAGTACAGGAGCTGGAGAACGAAAAATAGAGTTGTTTGGATGGTAACGATCACTTGGATCATCCCGACTCTGCTCTTTTTCATCAGCATCTTCGGATGGGAGCACTTCATCGGTTACAGGGATTTGCTGCCGGGAGAATGTGCCGTGCAGTTCCTGAAAGATCCGATCTTTAATACGGCCTTGATTATCGGATACTACTGGACAACGTTGATCGTTCTGTTTATCTTGTATGGAGGGATTTACAAGACTGCATACGAGATGCAAAAGAAGAGCGAGGCCAAGCAGAGAAAAATGCAATCCATGGTTGCGTTGAGTGCTGGAGCTATGTCTGGGATGGCCGGAAGAGCCGCCGGGATTGGACTGTCCAAGACGCAGAGCACTCTTCTGAGCCAGGATAAGCCTAATGTCGTTCCGAGCAATCCGCCGCAGAATCTGGGCGCAAAGGAGAACGTGCCAGACTCGAATTCCAGCCAGAAAACTGGAAGCTCTACGACGAAGCAGAGCGTGGTGACCGTCAGCACTACGGTAGAAGGCGAGAAGACTTTGAATCTTCCGAACAATCAGAACGAGAACGACAAGTCTGAGAGGAGCAGCAGCCCTGCCTTCGATTCGGACGAGGATAGCACGACGACGCAGCAGAACCAGCAGCAACGGAAGAGGTCTTCTATTGTGGGCATCGTCGTGCAGATTGGGACGGCTCAGCTGTTCAAAGATCAGCAGCAGCAGCAGCGCAGCAACGGGGAAGTTCCTAGCGGTGATCCGTTGGAGGTGCCGCTGCCTCTGATCGCGGAGCAGCGCAGCGAAGCATCCGGATCCGGTGTGGTATGTATGGGCATGGATCCCCCGAGTACCAAGTCATCACCGTCATTCTCGCAAAAATCGCAAAACATCATCCCCCCGCCGAGCCAGTTCTGTTGTTCCGAGTCGAGCCCACCACCACCAACCCCAAAAAGTAGACCCAAAAGCCTGCAAGTGATCTCCCATCAAACGTACGACGTCCTTCTGGGCCTCGACGGCGCCGACCTCCGATACATGGACGAGAGTTCCGTAGTTGTACCATCCCCCGTATGCGAAACCCCGCCTCAGCCCAACTCCCCAACAACTAACAATTCTTTACTGCAGAGCGCTCTTCTAAAGCAAGCAGTTAAGCAGCAGAAGATGGCCGAAACGGCGGTCACTCTCACCGTCTGCGAGAAACCCGTCACGTCGGTGGTCAGCGAGACCGATGCGGACGGAGACGGCAGCGAGCCGAGCACTCCCCAAGGAGGCGGCACCTCGGCAATCAGCCAGACAGGTAACGTTGCCGTCACCGTTGCGACATCCACATCCACAGCTACTCCACCACAATCACATATCAAATCAACAGAGACCGAAGATGCGGCCAGCAAACGCGACTTCGTCAAGAGCATCGGCAAGAAGCTCAAGAAGAAGAAACCGTTGGCCGGACCGGGCGGACCCTTCGGTCAGTTCGGACGTCAGAAGAGCAAATCCGAGAACCGAGCCCGCAAAGCATTCCGCACGATCTCCTTCATCCTGGGCGCCTTCGTCTGCTGCTGGACACCGTACCACGTGCTCGCACTCGTCGAGGGTTTTTGCTCCACGCCACCGTGCACCAACGGACACCTCTTCATGTTCTGCTACTTCCTCTGCTACGCCAACAGCCCTCTCAACCCCTTCTGCTACGCCCTGGCAAATCAGCAATTCAAAAAGACTTTCACGCGCATCCTCAAGGGAGACTTTCACATCACGTAAACAATTCCAAAAATCATCCACCAACAACAGCAAAAAAGAAACAACAATAAAAAAAAAACAAGCAAAACTGAAAACACCAATCAACGGCGATAAGTAAAACGTAATTTAGAGAAACCGCGTGTTTCGGGGAAGCCTTGTTATATAAGTAACTTCGTGTTCAAAAGTTTAGTTCGTAAACAAAAAAAAAAAGTAAGAAATTTAACAAGTATAAAAGAAAAGAAAATCAATAACAAAAATGGACAATAATTAGCTTAACTCGGCTTTCTCCTTTTTACTTTCCAATATTAATAATAAGTAAATTTAAAAAAAATAATAATGGGGACCCATAAGAAAAGAAAAATCACAAAAAAAAAAATATCAACATAATTAGGAAACAATTATATTCGAAATGAATGTAAATAGTCATACTACTATTACGGAAACTATATAATTATAATAATAATATACATATATTTTTTATTAATTAATCAATTAATCGAGCTTTCCCGATGGAGACGAATGTACCGCCTTTTTAATGACGCCCCGATAAGTTCTAGTAGTAAAAAAAACTGAATGTGTTTAATCAATGTGTAAATAAATGTAATACTGTACATATATATATTTACGTAATGATAATAATACCGAAATCGTTAATTCGGAAATGGAGGAAATAATCGTATTTCGTAGATGATGACGATGGAAATTGGCCGAACGCTCGGATTATTGAGCCCAATCCGACCGTTCGTCCGTTCCAATTACGCTTACGCAACTAAGATTATTTTTTTGTTCTTTCATTTACTTATTTTATTTTTTTATTAAATAATATTAATAAGAATTATTGATAATAAGTTATTAAACTATTTTCCGCCTTCTTTTTCTAGATTGGAAAATGTGCAGTGTATATTCTATGTATACTATGATCATTTCAATATGTATTGAAAAATATCAAAAATAATAATAATACTAATAGTAATAAAGAAAATCGATAACCAAAATATCTACTTTTGTTTATTTTACCCTGTATATATTTTGTGTTTATTTAGATGTAGTAAATAAGTATATTCATTTAAAAAAATACTTTATGTAATTTCCATTATTAATTCTTAAAATTGCTACCAATAATGTATTTGTAATCTGATCAGTTTTCAAAGAAGTTAATAAAAATAGTACTAGAAACTATCGAAAACTAAAGTTTAACTAAACAAACGGTTAGCGTTAACGTTACTTATAGAGATATATTCCAATTCCCAAGTAGCTATATTATGTATGGAAGTTTCATTGTAATTTCCGGAGGTAATATATTTAATATCCTTTGGAACAAAAGAGCGGTGCTATCATAGAGTTTCCGGAAAAACTTTGCGCTTTAGATTAGATATTATCCCCCCTTTTCGAAGTAGTTTCGTTGCGACGCAGCAATTTGATCCTATATATTCACTTTCGTCGAAATTAAGCTCCGTTACTACCTAGATGCCTCCCACTTCAGCAATTAACTACATACCTTCTTCATCATCATCTTCCATCTTTCGTACGATGAAAACATAATGCAAATTGTAATTGGAAACGGGAAGGAAATGAAAGGAATAACAAAAATCGATTGTAAAATAAAATTCTTTTTACTCTTCCACATAACTAAAATAGAATTAAATAAAATAACATTTTTATAATAATAATAAAAAATAATAATAATAACATTATTTGGTACAAAATAATTAATTTAAAAAGAAAGAAAGAAAAAAAAAGGAGACATCTAAATCCAAAAGAAAAATAATAATAATAATAATTAAAGAAAACATATCTCTATCCTACACACGAAAAACACTATTTACATTATATTATTTATATATATATATAAATATATTTATTTCATATATTTCTTTCCATCAAAGATAACAAACAAAAATTAATTATATTATTAGACGTCGATTAATTAATAAGAGAAAAAAAATACTTGCGGTACGCTTCATTGAAAAATATTAATAATAATCAAATGTGTATGTGTGTGTTATTTCTTAATTTTCACCTGAATCCTTCAGCTCCTCTTCTTAAGTTAATAAATGTAAGACGTGTACAGATATAATCGAAAGAAACGAAAAGAAAGAATAATAATGTAACAGGTGGATTACTTAAATCAGAGTAGCGTTAAGACTAAAACAATAATTAGAATTGCGTGGAAGGTTGACGTTTCTTCCGGAACAGGTCCATAAGTCGCGAAGACTTTCGTTCGCCTGCGGCCATGCTATTCCTGGATCCTCGGGTGTTACTCCATTCATCGTAGCCTGTAAATCCAGTACAAAAATAGTTAATAGTTATCTAACAATCATCAAAGCTCTTTGCTTGTAGTTTTTACAGCATAAAAACACTCGAAGAAGGTTTCCATGATTTCCTTTAGAAATGTTTTTTTCTATATAAAACTTATAGATTTAAAGTGAATATTAGATGATATAAATAAATGTTGGAGATATGATGTTTTATGAGGAAATAGGATAATGAAATCATGCAAAGAAAAAACAGAGTCCAGAAAAGTATGTAAATAAATTTTGCGTGTAAACTAACCGTGGTTGTCTTGGGAATTATCTAAAGTGTTATGACGCCTGGGGCCGTTATTTGGCGGTTGACTGACTGGCAACGGGGGCGGCGGATGGTCACCTAGTTTTTAGTATTTAGTAGAATTTCATTAGTAACAACAAAGAAACAAAACAGACGAACAAAGGAAACGTGTAAATGTCTCGAATGCTGTAATGTCTACTTACCGGCAATGGTGTGCCTGACCGAGTTTCCATTAGAAGAAATGGTAGTAGGATCGCGCATTACCACCGGATCTATGACGTCTGGGCTGGAGGTTCGGCTGCTCTGCGAGCTTAATTCGTTATCGTGGTAATCTTGCTGTAAATATAAATATAAAACGTAAATGCTTCACCCTTTTCTAATTTATGAACTGTTATACCTTTTGCACTTCGAAGTGTACGAGCTGTTGGCTCGGTGGTAATTTGGCTCTGAACGAAATCTTCCTCACCCAGTCGAGCATGTCTTGATCGCTGAGGCAGGAGAACAAATATTCGGATTGATCGGGCATCACCAAGCGGAACGTGTGCTTCCGTTTATTGTAGTCATCGGCGACGGTGCACAGGGCATTGTGGATTCCCAAAGGCGGATACATTGCTTTACTCGCGGAGAAGTCCTCCACGTTCTTGAAGAAGCACAGCAGCTGTCCGCAGAGAACCGTGTACAGATTCTTCCACGTCCTGATCTGCGCCCGTTTACCGGCGGCCGTCAGGACTTGCTTGCGATCCAAGAAGGTCTGGATCTCAACAGGCGGAAGTTCAAAATCGTGTCCGGGGCTCTTATCTTTGAAGGAATTTCTTCTTCTGGTGGTGAACGAAGGAGTCCTCTTGGGTAGTTTTGGTGGTGCGGTCACTTTCATGCTCTCCGCGCGTTTCACGCTGTGATCGCTTCCCCTCCTAATTCTATCGCCAAACATTTGAGCAGCAGAATTAGATTTAGTCAAATTGGTGGTTGGCGGCGGAGGCGGCGCCACGTCCGGTTTCTTCTTCTCGTAGTTCCCGTTAATTTCCGGTCCACGTTTAATTTCTTCAGCGCGTCTCATTTCAGTGAAACGCTGCATCTCCTGCTTCTTCCTCTGCGCCAATCGCTCTTGTTCTTGCCTTTCCCTCTCGGCCTTCCTGGCTTCGAGTTCAGCTTGTTTTTGTACGGTAAAGGCTTCCTCCAGCAACGTCATACGTTTAAGAGCAGCGAACTTCTCCTCCTGGGCACGGATTGTGTTCTCGAAGTCTTCGTGTTTCCTGATCATATCTTCAACTTGAATGATGGAATCTCCAACTTTAGGATCACGAAGCGTGGCTTCGCGAACTATCATCCAGTTTTCTAATGTGTTCGCATCGTGCTTAAAGAGCTGCACGTCCAAATTCTGCTCGTAAATAATGCTGCGCGTGTACCAAATGCGATGCAACAACTCCAAGCGTTGCTCCAGAAGGTCTAACTTTCCTTGAATCTCGTGCGACAAGAAGTGTCCATTACGAATCAACTCGTTTCCGGTGTTGAAGAAATGATTGAAAGATTCCGACTTGGCGTCAATTTCCACTTTGTGTTCCTTGTGGCGTTCCCTCAGCAATTCAGCTCCGGTCGCCTCTTGTGGCAGATCCGGTGCTGTGATCTTTGCCAGCATCTCGTTAATCCAGGCTAAAAGATCTTGATGTTGATCGTAATAAGATTGCAGATGTTCGGCTTGCGACAATTTTTCTTTTCTTTGCTCAGCTTGGATTTCCAAGTCGTTCCACGCCGCCAGTGTATCTTCTTGTTTAACTCTGATGTGTTCTTCAGCATCTGGATACATGTCGATCAACTTCTTCGCCTCTTGGTTCACGTAGTCCACCTGTTCCTTAACAGCCAACAGTTCAGTTTCAAAAGCATCGTGTTTTCTGACAAGAGCTTGAATGCTCTCCAAGTCGTGTCCGTAATTGTCCAAATTCAAGATGTTCTCCTTCTCTTCGATCCAAGTTGTAGTTTCATCGGCCGTCCTGTCGAACATGTGAACGGTCTTAGCACCTGCCAAGGCTTCTTTCCTGGCCTGCGCCAACTCCATCAAATCTTCCCAGAGCATCTTTATTTCGTCAACTTTTTGCTCCACTTTTCCAATATGCCTGCTCCTTGCCATACTCAGTTTATTTCCATTATCGATGCACGCCTGTACACGCAATTTGCTGTTCATCAAACTGATCAGGAAAGTCTCAAAGGCTTGCGTCAAAAGTTCAACGTGTTCTACATCCGTACCGTAATCTTCTGAAGCAGCTTTAGTCTGCTGATCGGACATCCATTCTTGCACCTCGTTGCATTCCCTGGTGAATCCGAAGAACAGTAGAGCTTCGGCTAAACAAGTCTCGCGTTCGCGTAACAAGTTCTCCAGCTCTTTGAATTTGGCATCAACTTCCGCTCTCCTTCTTGATATATTGACGGAATCATAATGCTGCCTGTCGACAAGTTCTTGCGACATTTTACTAAGTCTAGTAATTGTAATTCTGAAAGCCTCAATTTCGCAATTGATTCCTTCCAACTTCCTTTGTAATGACTGTGTAGAATCCTCGTCTCTACCTATTTCTCCAGATTCCAACAATGGTTTTTTGTCACCAATCCAGGCTTCAGCTTCGGTTGCTTCAGCATAGAAAGTTTGCGCTTCCAATGCATCTTGTAGACGCAGTTTCCTTATGCTGGCCATGTCACGAAGCTTCGTCAATGTGCTCTTCACTTCAGCTGCTTTGTCGTTAATCACCGGAGCAGCGTTGTGACCGGACGCTGATAAATGAGCGGCGCGAGAAACCAAACCGGCTACAATTGGTTCTCTAGAAACCAATTCCGCTTCTAAAGCCAAATGTTTCTTCTGCAAACTTTGCACGGCCGTAAGTGTATTACCCAAATCCGTTGAAGAGGCCATAGTCAGCCTATCGTTAAGCCATTGCAACTCGTCGTCAACATCTCTGGTAAATTGATGCAACATACTGGATGATTCCAGTAGATCTCTTCTGGTTTGCATGGGATCCTGCAATTGATGGTATCTTGTGATCGCTTTCTGGGCACGATCTTCAAGTTCGTCAGCCATGAAATGACCGCGTTTAGCAAAATCTTCTGCCGTTTCGTTAATAGTTTCACAGTTCTTGCTGTGCTGTTGCACTTCTTTCTCCAAACTGGAATGCTTCTTCAACAAATTATTAACCGTCGCTAAGTCTTTTCCGTGATCGGATGACAGCAATTGTTGCTCAATTTGACTCAACCATACTTCAAATTCATCCAAAGAACGATTAAACAGCAATGCCTGATACGCATCGTCTAAGCAATCTTTCTTCACTTGAGACAAGTCCTGCAATAGCTTCGCATCAGCTTCAAATCCTTCCAGGCGATTAGCAATTTCTTCAGCAGCGAAATGACCATCGTCGATCAATTCTTGTCCATCGTTGAGTACTTTCTTGATCCTCGATCTATTAGCCACAATTTCCGCTTCGAAAGCAATGTGTCTTTGAATCTTTGACTGTAAATTCGTTGGCTCCCTGTAATTTTCATCGCTGGCTACTTGGATTTTCTCTGCCAACCAACTGTTCACATCATGGAAATTGCGAACAAATTCATTCAGAGCCTTGGATTCTTCCAAAGTTTTTCTTCGTGAATTCGATAAACGAATCAAGTTATCTTTGCGACTTATAATTGCAGACATACGACTTCTAACTTCGTTATTATCGTATCTAGTGTCCTCGTACAGAGCAGTTGCTACATCTTGCAAATCTGTGATGCGCACTAATTGTTGTGGTAACATAATTTCGAAATCTTGATGTTTTCGAATAAGGGCTTCGACGGTGCGAATGTTCTCACCAACGTCATCGTTGTTAAGGAAAGCCTCCTTGGAAGCTAACCAACTGTCAAGCTGATCTGCATGCCCCTTGAATCCTTGCAGTTGATATTCATGGGTTAAATCTTGCTTATGCATTGTCCACGTTTTCAGTAAATTCTTCTGGAGTTGTTCCAATTTTTCGACAACTTCGTTTATTTGGTTATCGCTGTTTCCCATTTCTTTTCCAAAGTTAATCAGTTTCTTGAATTCTTCGGCTCTGCCGTCAATTTCAACTTTAAGCTCATCGTGAAGCTCTAGTTGAGCTACAGCTTCAAGAACGTTCGTCGGTTTGTGCCTGGATTCCATGCGCTTAATCATTTCGGAACACCAAACTTCCAGGTCTTTGGTATCGGCTAAGAATTTCTGCTTGGTGTATGCACCGTCCAACGCTCTACGCCTATTGTCTTTCGCGTCCAATAAAGTATTCCATTGCTTTTGGAGGTTCTCCATTTGGTTCGTAATATGCACAGCGTTGTGAGGATACTTTTGCGATAGCTTGTAGGAATCGCGTTCGTGATCCTTCAGTTTCTTTTCTACTGCGGTCATCTCAACTTCGGCTGCTTCTTGTTTACGTTGCAACACTTCAACTCCTGGTAAATCTTTGCCGACGTCTTGGTCTTGCATGGCAGCAACTTTCTCGGCAATTCTATGGTTCGTATCTGCAACATCACGGTTGAAGAGGTGAACTTCTGAAGCACCGCTCAGTTTGTTCCTGTAATCGGTGAGGGCGCCCTGCAAGTTCTGCCATTTGCGAATGAAATCGTTCTTGCGCTCTTGCACACCTTGGTGATCTTGCTTTATCAATTTATCTGCCAAGGCATTGATAATCCTGATGCGAGTATCGTCCACCCTCATGTCACTGTCAACATCATCCAATTTTCTTTGCAGAGCTTGGCAGTGCTCATAGTCACGTCCAGTATCAGCCGCTTGCACCATAACTTCTTTGTCTCTGATCCAAGCATCGATCTTATCCAATTGATTGTTAAACTCCAAGATATCCTGCGCTTCTTCCAGGCCTTTGCCACAAGATTCGACCTCCTCTAAGAGGCGATTCCAAGCTTCGTCTAAATCGTACAATTGCTTGGCAACATGGGAAGAAGCCTTGTGTTTTTGTTTGATCAGAGTTTCTCCCTTCAGTCGAATCTCCTCCATGCGTCCCAAGTTAGCGGCAACTTCCGCTTGGAAAGCTTGATGTTTTTGCAACTTCTTGATCTTATCTTCCAAGTTGCTGACCTCTCCGGTTTTTATTTCCGCTTGAACCTTCTCCTTTTCGCTTATCCAATTCCTTGCATCCGCAACGTCTCTCACGAATTCAGCGTAAAGCAGAGCGTGATGCAACTGCTTCTTCTTATCCAAACACATTTGACGGACTTTGAGGCGTTTCGCCTGAATTTCCGCCAATCTCACCGCAATTTGTCCGCTCTCAAAATGTTTCTGCATCAATAATTTATCGCCCGTTACCAAAAGCGAGTCGAATTTTTCATCTTGCGCATTGAGCAACTTCTCGAATTCCTCGTGTTTCTTCACTTGACGAGCAACCTCCTCGATGCTCTCACCGAAATCCAGATTACCCAAGGCAGCTTCCTGAGCGTTCGAGATGTTCTCCAATTGCTTAGCTTCGCGCATAAACAAATGCAAGTCCATCAGCTGATCCAATTTGATCTTCTTCAAGTGCCACGCTTGATGAAGCCTTTCGCGCTCTTCGAATAGTGCTGCGCATTTCTCTACGACTTCATTTGCGGCATAATGACCGGTTTTCTCCATAGCTGTACTCATATCAGCTACAGCCTGGAATAGTTCCTCCCTCGCTTCGATCTCAACTTTAAGAGCATCGTGTTCATCTTTAAGAGCTTGAGCACGAGCCATGCTACGAAGATTATCGTCAGCATCCATAGCAGCTCGAACTTCCGTAGACCAATTTGTCAGATTGCGAACTTGAGTCAAGAACTTTTGCAAGTCGACGCTCGCTTGTAGTTGATCTTTCCTCATTTCGGTGCGTTCTCTCAATCCCTGCCAAGCTGAAACAATCAAATCCTGTTGATCTTGGATTTGCTTCTTGTTCTTTGGATAAGTTGACATCAAGCGTGGAGCATCGTCAATGAGAACTTGAAGTTGGGCCTCCAACACGACCAGTTCATTCTCGAAAGCCTCTTGTTTTCGCAGTAGAGACAAAGCGGAATTCAAATCGCGTCCAAGATCCGTACCCAACGAGGCATTTTTCTCTTGAATCCTGGATAAAGCGTCACTGACGTCGCGATGGAAACGGTGGATCTCTCCAGCCGCATGTAATCTGCGCTCACGGTTTTCTATTTGATCTCGTAAATTAGCCCATTTTGTCCTAAGCGATAAAATTAATAAAATATTAAATTAAGAACAAAAAAAAGTAATAATCAGATTAGCAAAAGCGTTGTTATAAGTATAAAGTGCACAAGCATATTGTTAGTGATATTTTACCGTATATCTTCATGCCTAGATGTAACGGCCTCTACATCATCAGAAACTGTTTCATCCCTAAAACAATTAGTCCAAAACCTTCTAAACATGCACGCCACAGATAAATCTATCTTACTATTTAAATAATAGTTACATTTTTAAATGTAAATGTTCATTACAGAATAATATAAAATAAACATGCTTTTAAGAAAAGGTACAGTTACAAGAGTCTTAGTACTTCAACCAATTTGTTATAATTTAGTGAAAATAATATTAGATGTAGATTAAATATGAAAATATAGAAACTCACTCTAATAATTGTTGCTTTCTGCCGATCTCACCAATGTAGGGATTCTTGTTTGTGATTAATTTCTGTGCCAGATCTTCGCACTGCTTGAAACGCTCCGAACCAGCTTCAATGCGATGCTTGAAATCGTCGAACTTCGCTTGCAAAAGCTACAAAAGATCCAAAAATAATCTACTATTTAGGTCATTTAATTATAAAAGGCCGTACCTGCAGATGCTCGTAATCCTGGCCGTAATCTTCGGAAGCAGCGTGTTGATGCTGCTCGGCGATCCACCTCTCTAAATCTTCGGATTCCAAGAAATACTCGTGCCTGAACAAAGATTCCATCAAGCACTGTTGCCTAACAGCGGCACGTCTCTGCAACGATCTCACGAGGTGCTCTAATCCGGCTTGCCTCTCGCTTATAGCTTTCGACTCCGGATGTCCGGATTGAACATGGGCTTGAGCGCCTCGTCCCATTTCCGCAATGATGCTGCTGTATGTGTCCAGCTCCAATTCCAAAGCTTTATGTTTGGTTAACAGTTTCGTGGCTGCGTCTCTATCTCTGCCGTAATCGGTGCTTGCTAATACGTCTTTCCTCTCATTCAGCCAAGATTCAACTTCGCTGGCATCGAAGAAATATTGTTGAGCCTTCAGAGAGAGCTCCAGTTTCTGCGCTCGTTCTGCAGCCTTGCTTTGCAGATCATTCCAAGCGTCAGTAAGTGATTGACATAGTTCTTGGACGGTCCTCGCTTCCGGATGTTTTTGCGCGATCAATCCCTGTCCATTCTCCAAAGTCTTGTCGATGACAGGTTGATGTCCCAAAATCTCATCTTCCAAATTCTTGTGCTTCTTGTACATGTTCTGGGTTTGATGCAAATTCTGGCCTAAATTCTCTGAAGATGCTTGCGGCATATGCTCCTTGATCCATTGCAACTCATTGTCCAAGTCGAATCTGAATTTGTGGAAGCACAGCGATTCTTCGAGCGCGTCGCGCCGTTTTTTAGCCGGAGTAGCGAGGTCTTTCAATCTATCCTTGCTAACAGCTGCTTCCTCTTTAACAGCTGCTGAATCGAAATGGTCATCGTCGGTCATCTCGTTGCTTTGATTAGCTAATTCATCAACGCGGCTCGAGCACTGCGCCAACTCGTTCTCCAGCATTTCATGCTTCTTAAGCAGTTCTTTGCAAGACCTCAAATCATTGCCGACATCTGGCGAATTCAATTTCTTCTCAATCTCACCTAATTTATTATTGATGCTGTCGACGGCTGTATTGTACGTGTGCTGCGTTTCCGCCTGCCGCAATCTGCGTCCTTTGTCTAAGGACGTTCCGACGAGGCTCTGCCATTCGTCGTTCAAGTCTTTCAACGTTTTCGCAACGTCATCCTTTCTGTAGCTGTTTTGCGCGATCAACGATTGTCCCAATTTATTCACGGTTCTGAGCTGCCCTTCGTTCGCTCTTAATTCCCTCTCGAACGCCTCGTGCTTCTGCAATTTCCTCTCGAGATTGCTCAAATCCCTGTAACTCTCGTCGGACGCTGTCTTCTTTTTCTCGGCCAGCCAAGCACGCAAATCGTCCACTTGAGCGCAAAACTCTTGGTAATTCTTCGATGCTTCTAACGCATGAGAACGCGCCTGAGACAAGTCCTTCACGGCCTGTCTTTTCTGCAGAACCTGTTTACGTCTATCATCGATACCTTGGCTGTCGTAATGATTGGCTTTGATCAAGTTATCCGCCTGCTTATCGAATGTATTCAAAGCGGTGTCTTGAGCGACAAGAGTATTTGCGAATTCTCTGTGCTGCTTCAATAGCGCCTCAACTTCATCCAACGAATTACCCAACTCGGAATACTCGAGGAATGCTTGATGACTGGATGTCGCTGCGTCTATTTTATCCGCTTCTTTGTTAAACTTCTGAAGCTGCAGGCATTGCTGAAGCCAATCCTGTTTTTCCTTCCAGCCACGGTCCAACGCGGCCTGCTCTTCGGCGAGTCTGGTCAATTTTTCAGGAATATCGGTCAATTTCGAGTTGGATTTCAATAGTTTTTTACCCAAATCGCCGACCTGCGTAAATTCATCTCTATGAGCATCGATGTCATGTTTCAGATCTTGATGATTCTTCAGCAGATTTTCGGCTGTTTGGACATCTCGCACTGTATTATCCGCGTTTAATTGGTTTTTAACATCGGCAACCCAAGCTAAGAGCGTGTTTGCACCATTCGAAAAAATCTGGTGTCCGACGGCATTCTCCAAACCGGCCCTTCTCTTCTGCGCCTTATCTTTGACCTGCATCCAGAGATCTTTGATCTCATCCTCTGTTTTGGAGACGTTTGCGCGTTCGTGAGGATTCGAAGATATCACTGAATTCGCCAAATCGGCGATTTCGTTTACGGTCTTCTCGATCGGCGTGATCTCACGTTCGAGTTGTTCGTGTCTTCTTTGCAACGCCTGCACCGTTTTCAGATCGTGCGCCAGAACGGCTTCATCTAAATTATTTAATTTATCGTGCATGCGATCCTTCGCCTCGCCGCATGTGCTGAGGAAAATTTCAACGATGCTTGCGCCCTCCAAACTCTTCTCCTTCTGGATACCCAACTTCCTGAGTCTGTCCCAAGCGGCGGTGATTTGGCGATGCCTCGCCCTCACCTTGTCGATCTGCGAATGGTTCTGCTTCTCAAACTCTTTAACTTCGGCATCAATGCCCTCCAATCGTTTCTTACTCGCCGATAAATCAGTAACGAATTTCTGAAAATACAAATTATTTAATGACAAATAAACTATTTTATCTAATAAATAATTACCTTATGTTTGTTAATGGCTTGCTCGACTTTTTGATTGGGGTCGTCAGATGCCAACATTTTCTCCTTGTCTTTAATCCATTTTTCAAAATCGTCGCACTCTCTGTAGAACCTGTACAATCTGATGGCGTCTTCCAGGAGCGCGTGTCTCTTTGCGGACATCTCCTGGCACTCATCGTAGGTATCGTTAATATTCTTCCTCCTCTTGGGTACACTGTTCGAGTCGTCGGTCTTCTTCGTGACCCTTTGACCTTTGTTACCGCTCACCGGAACCTTTTGCATCACCATTTTCGTCTTCTTGACCTTCTCAATCGTGCGTACCTTCTCCGGTTTGTTCACTTTCTTCTGGATGATACGCGGTTGAATCTCTTCAAGATAATTCGCCGGAGCGAAACCGTCGGTACCATCAGCTTTCCGTACGCACCACCAATCCGGATTGTTTTCGCTCAACAGAAACATAACTTCACCTTTGGCCATCGACATCCTATCGTCATGGTACGGGTATCGAGCCTTGACTTGCCTAACCTTTTGCTCCTCGTAGACGGTGCGGTACTCGATTTTCTCCACCGGTTCATCTTCGTACACTTCAATCGGTATCATTTTGTTCTCGAACAATTCTTCCGTCGGTATTTCCTCCTCCAAGTTCGAAATGCCAGCTGAAATTAATCTTTCCGCTTGGTTGTTCAGACTCTGAATATCTCCATTGTACGCATTCAACTCTCCTTGCAAATCGCGATGACGTTGGAGGAGCGCCTGTGCGCTCGGCTCATCGGATCCGTAGTCTTGCGATTCTAAAATGTACTTCTTCTCGTGTAAAAAGGAGTCAGCCTCATTGGCGTCCGCGTAAAATTGATACGTTTCCGCGGCGTCTTGAAGACGTTTAGTTCGTTCGTTGGCCAACTTCTCCAAAGTCGACCATTCCTGCTGATTGGTGTCTATGCAATGTTGAATTTCCTTGGCCCTCGGATGTTTCTCATTGATCAACAAACGACCAGTGTGTCCCAGTTGATCGAACTTATTCTTGCGTGTTTTGATTTCGTCCAAAAGCAATTTATGTTTCTGCTGAAGACTTAAAATACCTCTCAAGTCTTTGGCGGTGATTGGCGCTTGGCAAATTCTCTGCTTCTCAATCAACCAAGCTTCCTCGTCTTCTTGATCTTGTAAGAACTGATAGAAGTTGCGGGCCTCTTCGAGCAGAGCTCTACGATTCTTGCTCATATTTTGTAATTCCTTAAATGAATTGGCGAGCTCATCGAATTTTGTTTTGATGATGTCCTGCTCTTTGGGATTTTGAGCAATGATCTGCTCGACGGACCTCTTCAGTCTGCGCTCCGTTTCACCCAGTGAAGTAATCTGCAGTTCTTGAAGAGCGTGTTTTTGTAGAAGCTCTTCTACGGCCAGCAAATGTACTCCGGTATCAACTGAGGATACATCCATCTTCAATTGATTGACATTCGCGAGTGCCGTGTCGATTTCACGTAATAACGACATAACGTTACCAATTCGGTTCAAATTGAACTTATGTTTATTAAGAAGAGCCAACAGTTCCTTCCATTTCGTCAAAACTTCTTCCTCTCTGGCTATTACCCGCTCGGAATTCCTATACTTCTCTTTCACCAATTCTTGACACATCTGGGTTAAGTTTAAGACGCGCTCTTCGCGTGCCAAGATATCTGCGGAGATGGCTTCGTGCTTTTTCACTGTTGCATCCACCTGCGTCAAGTTGGAACCGTACCTAGGATCTGACAGTACTTGAATCATTTCTTTCAGGTAATTTTCACGCAAGATGCTCTTCTTTTCGAATTTGTAATTGATCAACTCCAGTTTCTCTTGTCGTCTAAGTTCCGCCCTTAGGTCAACTTCACGTCTATGCTCAGCCTTTTCCAATTGGTCCCAAGCCCGCTCGATGTCTTGCAGTAATTTACCATCGGCGGGTGTGAAGATCGGCTGTCGTAGCTCCTTCATCTGCGTGTTGATATTGAAGAACAAAGCTTCAATTTCGCTGCGCTCGATGTACTTTGGTGGTTTTTCCAACGTCCTGTACATACCAAAGTTAATCAAGAGTTGTTGGATACCTTCCAGCGAGTTGGGGAACGGGCGTTCCTCCAACGCCACCACCGTCTTCTGAATCCACTCCAACAAATCCGTTGTGAGTTTATCGTATCTGGTCTTCATCTTGTCGGCCTGCATCATCTGGCCGATAATCTTTTCGATTCTCCTTCCGCTCTTGGCCTCGTTCTTCATCCGCGCAAAAGTGTGATAGTAAGAAGCCACGTAAGTCATGATACTCTTTTCGTCCGGTCTGTTCATGTCAATATCTTCAGCATCCAAAAGACTGGGGATGCCCAGTTCGTTGTTGGCCACGTCGAAAGCATGGTTCAGGTTATCGATATGCCTCAAAGGTTGCAACTGGTTGAAATCGAAGAGGTCAGGTCTGTGGGCGTGAATCAGAGCGTTGAAGCCCAGACCGCTCCTCCAGGATCCCGTAAAATCGTTTATCTGGACGCCCGGATAACCGTGCGTCTTCCTTTGCGCCCACAGCAGTAACGCATCTTTGGCAGATTTCTTTTCGGAACTCTCGTTCTCCTCATCCTAGAATAAAACAACAACATAATTAGTAAAGGATTTAAGAAGCAATCGAAGCGATAACTTACAACATCGATTTCAATTTCCTGAATTTGGAAACGTAAGATGATGGTCCATATCAGACCGAGAATCAACCGGGGATTTCCGTCGACTATATCCTCGGCTCCTATACTCTCCAGACGGACTTTCGTGTGCAAGAACGCTAAACTCTTGTTCACGTTCTCGATCTTGTGCACGCGCATCTTGCCGTTATTCGGTTTGGCCAGCTTCTCGCCGGAGATGATCTCCAGCAGCTTCAGAAGCTTCCGGCCATCGGCGAGGTCGACGAAGAGGTCCTCCACCTCCATCCTCACCTTCTGCAGGAACGAATTCATCCATTTCGTAAACGTCTTTTTCTGTATATGCAAACGTTCCTCCTGCAGGACCTTGATGCGGCCGTGCTCGAATTTTTGCACCTCATCCCGCTGCGTCATGTTAGTTCGGTACTGAATATCCGACCTCCGACTCTGATCATAATGTACTTGACCACCGACTGCAAAACAACAACAAGAACAAAACCATTAGAAAACCAGAACAACATTGCAAACAACATACGTTTTCATAAAAAATAAACCAGCGATAATTACAAGAATCGAAATAGAATAGAAATGAAAAAGACAAAGTTAAAAATTCTTTGGTCAAGCAGCAGCAGAAGAGATTAACGATTGTCGCCACGTACGTAGCGCAATCAAACATTTTAATCACGCGTACTCGTTCATTTCACCGTTCATTTTTTTTGTGCGTTTTCATTTTACATGCTCGTAATTAGATTCCAAATATTTCATCGTTCGCATCGATCGATACGTGATTGCGTACGAAGAAAGAAAATTCAATGATATCGTGATCCGCAAATAAATAAGATTATAGAACGCATTCCAAACGACAAACGAAATAACCGAATATAACGTAATAATAATAAATAAATTCAAGATTTCGATCGAACTTATCAACGATGATCTGGTGCAATCGATAATCTAATTAAAAAGAAAACACTTAAATATATTGATTTTTAGCTGAAACAGCGTTTTTATAAACATTTTGCATTGTGAATAAATTAAATTTCTATATGAAAGAGCGATGATGTAACGAAGCTAAGATAATATTACACAATACTTGCAAAAGCATAATCGATTGAAGGAAAAGGTAATTGCAAATGCAAGATATTGAATAGTTTTAGCCATTTTGCAAACTTTCATTTTCGAATTGTTAATTTGAATGGAATGTAAATTGTTTAACTTAAAACTAAATTAACAATTTAAAACAAAACAAAAAAGAAAACCTTATTATCAGTTTACTTTTTACGATTGCATTAAATTGTTTGGAAACGTTTTAAACGTTTCGCAGAAGGATGAGAAGAAACGAAAGCAAGCAACAAAAAAAAATAAGTAAAAATGTGTTCGTTTTGTGCAATGAAAACTTAAATGATATTATTTTTATTGCCGACTGCGGAATGCAGCGTGCTGCTGCTGCTGTGTTTGTTGTTTAGTGAAAGGTAAAATAAAAACACAATACTAATGCTCGAAGAATTCCGCTTCGTTTTATTCCCTTCCATCTCCGTCCTTTCTCATCATCATCATCAACAACAACAACAACATCATCGGTGAGACAACGAGAGAAACCTGGACCGATTTGAATAAACGTAATTGCTATAATTGTGGCACTTCGCAGTCGTGAACTGTGCAAGAGCATTGTTATAATAACTTAATACTTAGTCGACTTCTATAAGCGTCGATGATACAATCGACGCAAATTATATTGAATGTCAGCAAAAAAAAAACAAATAATAATATATATTTACACGTATTGAACATAGTTTTGCAATGAGCTAAAGATTAGATTAGACTAAACCGTGGATAATAATATCGCAGCACTCGCTAATATTATTTTGGAAATTATACGTACCATTGTAATAAGACATGACAATTTATTTGGTCATTTAATCACTTAACTTAAACTATCAAAAAAAATAAATTAATGTGAAATCGAATTTCAATCTAGTAAATAAATATTAAGTTAAAAAAAATACTTGTATTAATTTTGCAAGCTAACTCTCGATCGAACACAGCACGAAATGGATATTCGAAATTGCTCGAACTCGTATACTCATAATATCTTATCAACGAAACGCTGATAAAATTAATAAAATAGTTATTGATTGGTTTGCATTTACCGATCGGAACTGTCGACCTGGAATCGAGCTGCTGCTGCTGAAAGTCACATGCACCAATGACGATGAGGAAGAGCAAACGGAAAGTGCTAAAAAATGATTATTGTTTTTGCTTGATGGATTACGCAACGGCGCGGACAGTACTGAATCTTGACCAAAAAAAAAATAACGAATATTATGTATTGCGTGACATCACTGGTGATCTCATATGTCTTACGGAGTATCGCAATAACCGCAACAGATATAATACAATCATCGCCTGTATTTAAAATTGCCGACGTGCGCGAATCGCTTAATTCCATCCGCGCTTCAGTTTGATGATGGCTCTTAATATTTCGGTAATTGTAATTTCATGTCGACTAAATTAACCGAACCCACGCGCGTCTCTCTCTCTAAGATCATCATCATTGGATTCAGATAAAATTCTGGTTAATTATAGACGGCGGATTTGTTTAAACAATGCGAGTGAATGAACTTGATTCCGGACGATAGTAATAATAATTATAGTATGCGTAATCTCGCCTCGAGAAGACTAATATTTATTTATCAATTAAACAAACTCGGTGCAGCGAACGGGGCCGTAAATATTAATTACACTTCAGAATGAAATGCCGCTGCTGTTGCTGTTACTGCTGCTGCGTCGTTCTTCGAAAGTACGCAGAGACCTACGCCAATTACGGACACAATAATCGCAATCAGAAGTGATTATATGCTTGATCGTGCGTTTCCTTAGAAAGGCATTAAGATTTTAGATGATTGGGGGCTATTAGTGTAATCATTGATGGGTGTGTGTATGTACATAAGAACTTAATACGATCGTATCCTGAAGAATGAGGAACGATTTCTACTTTGTTCTTTTACATTTACAATTAATAATCATACCACTATTATTAAGACCATAATTAATCTTAATATCACATCAATTTTTACAAAAGATTTCTATTAATAAAACTTAATACGATCTTATCCTGAAGGAACGATTATGACTTTGTTCATTAACAATTAATAATTAATCCAAAAATCAAAACTATTTTTACAAAAGATTGGACTATATCTCTTTTTAATTAATTTGTAGGTACGTACATGAATCAGTTTAAATATTAAACATTTCAATATATAAAAAAAAATGTATCTTTTACTAATTATAAGAAACTCATACAAAATTATCACAAAAGGAAAAATCTATTTAGTTATTCGTAACATTCTCTAATTATTTATGTAATTCCTATTTCAAAACCAAAAATTAGATTTGTTCACTTAACACTGACAAACAATAAGAAATGTTTTCATTTCCTTAAACAACTCAACTTAATCACATCAGTTTTACATCAAACTAGGATTCTTGTTATCCAATTAAACCCAAAAAAAAGGAAAAAAATATAATTAAGTGTAATTATTATGACTAAATTTGATGATGTAAGTTCAGTTCCATGGAATTAATGAAATGTCGAAAAAAGGTTTTTTATTTATTCTTTTTCAAAATATAATGATTTTAAATGGTAACGAACTCTTGCATAATGCTGGTAAACCAGTAAATCATGGACATGTATTATGCATGCAATTATCTAACGTAATAACAAAGCAGCGAACTAATTAGTAGCAAACATTGATTGCGTTCCATAGACAATGGATTTATACGTTTTAAACGCCGCAGCCATGCAATGGAATTATACACGTATTTTCGTTTTTATAATTCAAAATGTACACGAAACACAACTTAACATTCTGTAGATTCATGCAACAAAAGGAAAAAGAAAATTAGTATTACAAAGACATATTTTGTGTAACTAATTGTATATAATTTACTATTTATTAAAGTAAACATTTGAAAAAGTAAAAGTTGCGTAAATTATATATTTTTTTTTAAACAGTGACTTAATTTAGTTTAGTTGATTTTTTTGTTGCCAAATTTGCATTTAAAGCAGTTTTTTTTAATAAGATTTATGTAAGAAAGTGACTTATATATCAGTGAAATAAGGTGGTTGTATAATTAACAGATATTGAGAAATCATTCAAGGGCATTGCTGAGGTATTATCTATGTTAATAAAATAAATTTCTAATATGAAATATTTCAATGAACATTCAGTAATCTCTTCCGCAATGTTAAGTATAAGTATTGTACAGGGATTAACCACAAAACGTGAAGTAAAATTGTAAGGATATTGTGTGTGAAAAGCTCAAAACTAAATATAGATGAAGATGAAATGCAATTTTATGAAGCTGCGGGTGGCGAACGGAAGCAAAATATTTAACGGGAAACGGCAGATGTTAGTAATGCAAGGAGATCCATTCGTGGAACAGGAGGACGTGCTTCTACAAAACGAGAATGAAAAAAAAATTGAACAAAAGTAAATAAACGTACCGGAACTTTGTAATCATAACATTTACACAGAGTGAGTAAATAACGTTTTTTTACTTTCGGTAAAATTATTGATGATTATTTGATTGATGATATTTGTTTAACGCAATTTCTTACACGTTTCTATTAATGTTAATATTGATTATATTAATAATATATAAGTTTCATTTAATGCATATAAAAAAAAACTTTGCTTTTTTATGTGCTGTGACCTTCCACTATTTTCCATAAGTCATTTATAATGACCGATGATGATGACGCCTTAATTGAATTGAAATGAAAGTCGAAAACAGAAATCAGAACTAAATATAGATAGGTGAAGCCTCAATTCAAATGAAAGTTTGCACATGCATATGCAGAAACATCGATATTATTAACACAACTATCAATTTTGCGAATTCGTATCAATCAAGGACGAACGGATTCGTTGAAATTAAGAAGTTCCCACACGACGATACGTTATTTATTTTACTTTGCGAAACAGTTATCCTTCACTTTCGATGATTCACGACCTTCGAGAATTATTAAAAAAAAAATATTTACAAATCTTACATACTAAAACTAATTATCGCCACATGCGGGATGACATTGTATTTCATCAGCAATTTCATTCAGTCGAAACAGTAAATTACAGTTAACTCCCACATATAATTTAATTATTTTTTTTTCAAAATAATTTAACAATTTGTAATCATTTTTTTGTTCTCCGAATTTTAGATAAGTCATCGTCAGAATTTCCATGATCTCATTCATTGTGAATCAATGTGTAAAAATCCAAAATATAATTGGAATAATATTTATGTTTGCATCGTGATTGAATAATCTAATTCCGATTAATAATGATTTCTTTTCTTTGAATCTTCAACTTGTATAAAATTACTAAGAAATGCTGAATTATTAATAAAAAAAAATTGGTTATTCTGAAATAATTATAAGATTTAGATTCATATTTAACACGTTTTTAAC